CCGACAGCTGAAGCATATGGAACCACTTTCACTTTATTGATTGAGCTCATATTGGTTCCTGGACCATTGAAAATCCCCATATCCGTCGCCCTTGACTATAGGAGCAGGTGAGGGTCTACATTTGTGCATACTGAATTTCTTTAAGATCTTTTCCATGTATGCCTTTTGTGATAGTCCTTATACCATTTTTCTTGTATCTCGGTGAATCTCGATCCCTAGAACGAACGAAGGTTCACCAAGATCTTTCAAATCAAAATTTTGAGGACAAAACTTCTTTATCTCCTGTAGTAGACTGACATCACTACTAGCAAGTAAGATATCATCCACTTACAGGACAAGAAAGATAAACTTCCTATTCTTAAACTTTGCATAGACACAATTATCCTCTACATTTTCTTTAAATTGTATAGACACAATTGTCCTCTACATTCTCTTTAAAACCCAAAATTCTTTATTGTCTGATCAAACTTCAAGTACCACTGTCTTGAAGCTTGTTTTAATCCATAAATGGATTTCTTTAGGCGGCATCACATTCGTTCTTTTTTCCTTTCATGACAAAACCTTTCGGTTGTGCCATGTAAACATTTTCCTCCAAGTCTCTGTTGAGAAATGCCGTCTTTACATCCATATGATGTAATTCTTAATCGTAATGTGCCACTAATGTCATTATGATTCTGAAGAAAACTTTACATGAGACTGGAGAAAAGGTCTCATTGTAATCAATCCCTTCTCTTTGCATACTAATGCCATTATGATTCTGAAGAAAACTTTACATGAGACTAGAAAAGGTCTCATTGTAATCAATCTCTTCTCTTTGCATAAAGCCTTTTGCCACAAGTCACACTTTATATGTCTCTATATTCCCTTGAGAGTCATGTTTAGTCTTATAGACCCATTTATAGCCTACTGTTTTGACTCTTTTAGGAATTATTTCCAAATCCCAAACTTTATTGACATTCATCGATTTCATTTCATCTTCCATGGCCTCAAGCCACTTTGATGAATGATTACTTTTCATGGCTTATTCAAATGAGGTGGGATCATCCTCCATTTGAAATTTCTTAGTGTTATACACTTCATAATCAGCAGGAATGACTGATTTACTAACTCTTTCAGACCTTCTAGGGGCCTTCACATTTGGCACATTTTCTATTTGAGGCTGTTGTTGTTCCCCCTCATGTGTGGCAATCGGTTCTATAGAATCCTGAAGAACAGGTTCCTCATTTTCATTCATTATTGCCACAGGTGAAATAACAACAGGTGCTGACACCATAGTATTTTACACTGTCGGTGCAGCGACAGCATGTAGTGAGAAAATTGGCTCATGAATCATTGGAGTGGGCGCATACACCCGCTTCAATTCAAGGTCAATTTCTCGAGCTATCATGCTCCCCCTCATCTTTTCATCCTATAGGAAAACAGCGTGTCTCGTTTCCACAAACTTTGTATGTCTCTCTGGACAGTAGAAACGAAAACCTTTTGACTTTTCTAGGTAACCAAACAAATGGCAACTTACTATTTTGGGTTAAATACTTTAGCCTCAGCAGGGCTCCCCCACACACACGCAAGTGGTTTAGTGAGGGTACTCTTTCTATCCACAACTCATACGGTGTTTTGGGCACCGAATTTCTTGATACTCTATTGAGAATATGAGTGGCAGTTTTAACGCCTCCATTCACATGCTCAACTGTAAGGTGGAGTAACTTGTCATACAGCCCACCATATCCATCAGGGTGCGATTGATTCTTTTAGCTACTCTATTCTGCTGAGGTTCGCCCGGTGTAGAATACTGGGCTACTATGCCATTCTTTTAGGGTATGCCGACAGTAGTACTCCCCCATGGTCATACCTGACTATCTTAATCTTTAATATCTTAAATTTATCCAATACATCTTTTCTTTCTTTGATTGGATAAATATAGCCATAATGGGAGTACTCATATGTGAATGTTATGAACGAATCATTACCATCCACACTCTTTACAGGAAACTGACCACAGATGTCTGTGTGAATAATCTATAAGATTCCTGCGCTTCGTTTGTCATCTTTCTTAATCTTCTTTATATACTTTTCTTTTTTGCATTCTCTGCATTGAATTTAATCTAAGAGCTCTAATAGAGGAAGAATATCATTCTTAACTTGTCTTTCTATTCTCCCCCTCGAAATATGGCCTAAACGACAGTGCCATAATTTCGACAACGCATCGTGAGCTCTCTTATGCCACCTTTTCCAGATTAACACTCTGTGACCAACTGCTTTATCAGCTAAGTGGCATATGTCCTTGAAGAGTCAGTGAACTGACTCTTTATTCTATCAAGGTACTCAGTGACCGTGTCACATTCTGAAATTGAGCCCACAATTGCAGGTTCAATCATGTTCTTTATCATAGCCCAAGGAGTCATAGGATATCTTTTGAGATTCATTTCCTATGCCCAAGGAGTCATAGGATACCTTTTGAGATTCAAAATCCCTTTCTTTAGTTGCCCAAGTGGCATCATTCTCTTATCTCCCTCACCGGTGCCACAAACTCAGTGGAACACGGTGAGGTGACTACCCAGTCCACCTTAGACAAGATGAAAACCAGGTCAAAACTTTTCTTAACATAAAAATAACACCATTTGCATGCCTTGATTCCAACATTGGTCAAAATCAAAACATACAATTATTCTTATACACTAATTCTACATCATCGTTGGACAGAAATAGAATTAATGCATAAATCTTTAACTTTCACAACTGTTCTTATACACTAATTCTACATCATCGTTGGGCAGAAATAGAATTAATGCATAAATCATTAAAATTAACATCTGTTCTTATACACTAATTCTATATCACCGTTGGGCAGAAGTAGAACAAATGCATAAATCTTTAAAATTATCAACTTTTCTTATACACTAATTCTACATCACCGTTGGGCAGAAGTAGAATCAATGCATAAATCATTAAAATTACGATATTGTTATTATCAACGTTGGTCAGAAAATAACAACATCATAATCATATCAAAACTCTTTTTCTCCGATTAAATACCACATTGGTTCAAAATAACTGGAGAATCAACAATTTCTTTAGCAGCGGAAAAACTTTCTTTTTCTCAAATTTTACCCACAGGGAAAAATTGTATTTTCTATTTCCTTTAATCCATTAATCAATTTCCAGGAAATAAACATTTCTTGAAAAACTTTTCTTTTCTCCAGTTAAATATCATGTCATTTCATATCTACTTTTTGGAAAAATAACACGTTGGTGTAATTTTACCAGAAATTTTAAACCATTGAAATTCTCTTTTCTCTATTCCTTTTGAGCCATTTTCCATTTTTCAATTTACTGAAAAAGAAAAACAGAAAATGTAGGCTCATTCTTTCTTTCTCGACCCAAAAACCGGCAAAAGCCGGCTCGGCCGCTTCTCTCCACAAGAGCACACCCAGGCCGCAACTCCTGGGCACAAGCAGCTGCTGCCTCGCAGCTTCACCCACTTTGGGTCATGCTGGGTTGGCCCATCCAATCTCGACCGTCCGTCTTGATCCGACGGCCGAGCGCGCATCTCGCTGAGTATAAAACCGCGACACCGCGCGCCCCCGAGCAAACCCTAGGTCATTTTCATTCGGTCTCTCTCTCTCTTCGCCTCACTGCTCTCTCTTCTCTCTACCTTGCTCTCTCTTCTCAGCCGAGCACAACCAAGCGAACGAGAGCTAGAGGTGGCGTCCATGGCACCGCCACCGACCCCCTCGCCGGCGTGCGCGCTCCCCAGCGGGTGAGCGCGTCGCCGACGAGCGGCCTGGCCATGGTGACCCCTTTGCTGAGCCCGGCTCGGTCTTCTTCCCCCACGCCGGCGAAGGGCCGGCTCGGCTCTTCTTCTCCCTCGCCGGCGAAGGGACATCCCGACGCACGGCGAGGTAGATCCATTCTTTTCCTTTCTTTTTCCCTTTCGGATTTGATTTGTATCTTCTTTCTTTTCTTTTCGCTTGTTCACCCGAAAAAGAGATCTAGGGTTAGGGTTCGGTTGAACCCGATCCGTGTTTTCTTTTTGTTTGATTCGAGATCGAGATGCTAGGGTTCTTCCTCGAGACTGATTCCTTCCCCTTCTTCCCCTTTTTCCCTTCTTCTTTTGGGATTAACCCGATTCGGGGTACTAGGGTTAGGGTTTCATTTTCTTTTGATTTCTTTTCCTTTTCGGAGTTCATCCGAATCTCTTCCCTTCTTCCCCTTTTTTCTCCGATTTGGATTGATCTCTGTTTTCCGAATCGAAGGTGGGGATTAGGGTTAGGGTTAGGGTTCGTGTGCCGACCCCTGTTCTTTTCTTTTTCTCTTATCCGAACATGGATCTGTTCTTTCTTGCCGTGTCAGTGCGGCACTTTTCCCGCGCGGTGGCGGTGGTGATCGGGGTTCCAGTGACCTCCGCCACCCCCGGTCCCTTCTTCGTTTCTTTTACCCGATTAGGGTTAGGGTTACACACTTGTAACCTGGCTCTGGTACCATTGTTAGGATCGTAGGATTGGTGTACCTCTCTGTGTAACCCGTAGATCCGGGTAGACTTCTTAGGGTTCCTCTGCTCGCCTTTGCACGGCAGACTCCTGGAAGCCGGTGCTCGGCACGGTGGTGAGGAGGCGAGGTAGCGATGCCGTGGAGATCCAGAGGGGACGGTGGTGGCCCTGCAGGCGACGGCGGTGGTGGTGGGGCACATCCCGTCGCTCGCAGCACGCTTTAGAATCGGATTAGGGTTTCTCTGTAGGTGGATGGCGGCTCCGTTGAACCTCATTCTCCGAGCCCTCACCCCACCTTCCTTTTATGTGTGTTGTACGAGAGCCCACCAACCGGATTAGGATTGGGGTCCCCCGATCAGGGAGCAGAGATAAGGTCCTAATAGGCCGTTGGGCCTATTGGTGGAGATCAACTAACACATCGGACCAATCCTAGACTGCAGGAAAAGGGAGATGGATCGATCGATCGCGCGCTTACTTAATTAGACAGAAAAGAAAACTGAATAATCTTGGTGACTAAGAAAAAAATAGTTTCGTTCGTAGTACCGTGGAAATGCTACTTGCTGAGCCGACGTTGACGTCGACTACGGGCCCGTGTTCCATAGCGGTTGTGGTGCTTTTCGCCGGGCGCTTCTTGACCTTCTCTTCGTCGGCGGCATTGTCGTCATCACCAGCAGACAGCAGCGTCATCTGGATGTTTTGCACGCGGAGCTCGTCCTGCCGTAGCAGCTCGGCCAATGACGGCCCCTTGCGGCGGTGCGACGACGGCGGCGAGCAGGGGCCATGGGAGAGACTCAGTCGTAGCCACGTGGCGTTCTGGTGACCATGAGGTGGAGACACTGCAACAACCAACATCATTCAGTTCGTTCAGTAGTATCACTAGCTTCAGATCAATTTTTTTTCAGCTGTGCGTGCGTGTTTTCGATGGGATCGTGCACGTACCCCTGTGTCCGGTGCAAGCAGCTTTGGGCTTCAGCGAGCTGATCGCCACGAATGTGTAGTCGTGTTCCGCGTCTACTGCTGCACGGACGACAGGGACACTAGTAGTAGGAGAAGAAGAACAGGACAAGCTGTGGCTGAGCACAAGGAACAGAAGCAAGACGACAGCATCCGCCATGTCTTGCTCTCTAAGTGTCTCTAGATACTTCACTGGCTTGCGGTGCAACTCGGACACTCGGTTATATAGGCAGCAAGGAAAGTGAGGCCACACATGTACACAGATCCAACCACCACCACGCACACACGGATGTTGAGTAGGTAGCAGCTTCACCATGATCGAATGAATAATAATGTGCGCACGTTTAGTTAGGTTGTGCTTGGTTGAGGGTCCGAGTGGGTTGAGATGAGTCAAACCTATTTTTCTAGAGTGTTTGTGTTTCAGGACTAGAGGGTTGGGTTCATCCTGAACGAAATAAATCGTCTCATTGCATGAAGGCAACTTACGTACAGGATATAATCTTTAATTTGATTTCCATGCCAATTACTTCTTACTGTATTAGAGCATCTCCGAGAGTACCATATTTCCCTTCCCAATCCTTAATTTTAGCAAGATGAGAAAAAATCCCTCTCCAACAACTTCTAATTCGTGCTCCTAAAATTTACGCACTTGGAAAATCCTCTCTCGTCGTGCGTAACTTTGCGCATAGTTGCGATCGCGCGGATACTGTTTTCCCGTGCCTATATAACCGAGTGTAGGAAAGGATTCTTGATGTAAATGTACAAGAGAGAAAGAATACATAAATGTGGTTACGATAATCTAGAAATAGTATAGGATTCCTGATGTAAAATTGTCTTCTATATTTTAGGAGTAGATTATTGAAAACTCTCGGAGATAACCTTCTTTTTTTCCTCAAAATATATTTTTAGGAGTTGCAAAACTACATATTTTTTGGAGAGAAAAATAGGATACTCAATGCAAAACCTTAATTTTAAGAGAAAAAGTTGTGTTCTAGATACCCACATCCACAACTAGATGCCTCTATATATATATATATATATAATGACTTCGACAATATCATCATCAAAATAAGACGAGGGTGTGTGCATATATATGTGAGTGCTTACGTCTCTATACTGTTTCAAAATTAAAAAAAAAGAATAATATCCGATATATTGCAGTATGTGCTTTGAGCGGCGCACAAGTGGGCGGCGCAACCATGGAGAATCAATCATTGACTGCCCAGGTTATCCGTGCAGAGCACGTTCTTCCAGACCATGGAGGCCTCGCCACCCTTGCTCCCGCCGACGAGGAGCGGCCGGCAGTAGTAGGTGACCTGCAGGCGGGTCATGTTGAACCCGGAGCTCACCTCCGTCACAAGGCTGCCGTCCACCCGTAGCGTCATGTCTGTTGGCGCACACCTAGCCTTTCGATCACTGAGATGACCTCCTAGACCACTACAGATAGCCTGTAGATCATCGAAATGGCCTGCAGACCATTACAGATAGCCTCCAGACCACCTTGGTCTCACAGGATCATCGACTTACGACAGTGAACCACTCTAGCCGATCTCGCTGTGCACCGGCTTAGGCGAGTGGAGCACTTGACGGTCTCGCCGAGCACGCGCTAGTGTTGCCGAGCACCCACTAGCTGTGCAGACCACGTACCGGCGTTGTCCGTACCCACATACTACGGACGAAGTTGGGAGAAGAAAGGAGAACAGAGCGAGCACGCACAATACAAGACAACAGCGTTGGCCGAGGCCCAGCCTGTGTGATGGCAAATCTGAGCTCTCTTTACTGAGTTGCCATACATGTCTATTTATACAACTCTAACTATCTAGTCCATGTACAGCGTCCTTACTGGCACAGTAACTAGATAACCTGACAGGGCTGACTCTGCGCCGGCCACTGCCTGTTCCTACAGTGCTGCAAGTGAGCCGTGCGGCGCTTGCACCTGCAGCGGCTACTGTATCACAGCAGGGGGGGCAAAGTCGGCACCACCTTCCCTTGCTGTGTTCACACACAGCAGGCGGCTAAGTCGGCGCCGCCTTCCTCTGCTGTGTTCACACAAGGTGGCAGTAGATTAGCTAACAATCTTCCCCTAATTCTACTGCTAACCCTTGTAACCCCTCCATGCCGATCATCTTCTTCAGCTCCGTGAGTCGAAGTCGTCCGAGCGGCTTGGTGAGGACGTCTGCGGGCTGCCGAGCAGTTTCGACGAACTTGATGACGATTTGCCCTCCATCAACACAGTCCCTGAGGAAGTGGAACTTTACGTCGATGTGTTTACTCCGGTCGTGCAGAACCGGATTCTTCGCGAGGGCGATGGCGGGCTGGTTGTCCACCATCAGTGCTGGTGGGTGAGCTTCCACGCCGGTCAGCTCGCCCAGCAGTCGGCGTAGCCACACAACTTGGCACGCCGCTGTGGCCGCCGCTACGTACTCTGCCTCGCACGTAGATAGCGCCACCATCTTCTATTTCAGCGACAGCCATGAAATTGGGGCTGACCCGAGGAAGACGAGCACGCCAGAGGTGCTCCGTCGTCCGTCGATGTCCCCCGCCATGTCTGCATCGCTGAATACCGTGAGCTGCAGCCTACTCCCGCCGGTCTTTGGAAAGATGATTTCATGATTCACCGTCCCCTTGACGTAGCGTAGTAGCCGCTTCACCGCAGCCCAGTGATCATCTCTGGGATCCTCCATGAAGCGACTGACGTAGCCCACGGCGAACGCAATGTCCGGCCTCGTGTGGACTAGATAGCGTAGACTGCCGACAATGCTTCGGTAGAGTGTTGCATCCACCTTTGCCGCTGTGCTGGCCTTCGTCAGCTTCAGCCGCTCCTCCATCGGAGTCACGCATGGCTTGCACTCCACCATGCCGCTCCTCTCCAACAGCTTGGAGGCATACGCGCTTTGCCCGAGCGTGAGTTCCTCCTTCCCTTGTCTCACCTCGATACCGAGGTAGTAGGAGAGAGCGCCGAGATCACTCATTCAGAAACGAGCTGTCATCTCTCGCTTGAAGCTGTTGATATCCTCCGTGCACGCGCCGGTGACGATTAAGTCATCCACATACATGCCGACCACGAGCTCTTCCTTCCCCCGTCGTCGCGTGTAGAGCGCGTGCTCGGTTGCGCACCTCTGAAACCCAAGCTCGCCCAGCGTGGTGTCAAGCTTGGCGTTCCATGCTCGAGGGGCTTGCCGCAGCCCGTAGTGCGCTTTGCGCAGTCGGAGCATCCTGTGCTCCTCTCCCTTGACAGCGAACCCTGGAGGTTGCCTGACGAAGGCCGTTTCCACCAGCTCGCCGTTGAGGAAGGCTGATTTAACGTCCAAGTGATGGACGCGCCAGTCCTTTGCTGCCACCAAAGCAAGTAGCAAACGGACTGACTCCATGCGCGCTACTGGCGCAAAGACCTCTTCGAAGTCGATGCCCTCACGCTGGACAAAGTCTCGGGTGACGAGGCGCGCCTTGTGCTTGACAATGGCGCCGAGCTCGTCCCTTTTGACTTTGTATACCCACTTCAGGCTGATCGGACGACATCCTGGAGGTGGATCGACGAGCTGCCAAGTCTCATTTTCCTCGATCGCCTTCATCTCCTCCAGCATCGCCCGTCGCCAGTTTTCATCGCGCTCGGCTAGCGCGAACGTGGGTGGTTCCTCTGCACTGACAAGTAGCAGCTCTGCGTCGTTGAGCAGCCTACCTACCAGACCTGAGGGACCTGTGCCGCCGCCGATGTCGTCCAGCCTACGGAACCTCAACTCCTCACCTTCGTGGTAGGCGTCCACGAACTCAGTGATGTCACTTGGAGGTGAGGCGAACTCGATCGGGAGTGATGGAGTTCCTTCTTCCACCGAATTGCCCTGCATAGCACCCGAAGTGCTTGACACTGTTTCTGAACTGCTCGTCATAACTCCTGCAGTGTTCGGCCATACTATAGGAGTGCCTAGCCTCAGTCTTGGAGTGGTTGGGACCACAATAAGACGTCTTGGCTCTGCCACGGGAGTGCTCGGCACCCGTTCTGAAGTGGTCGCCACCACTATAGAACCTCCTGGCTCCACTCCTGGCGTGCTCGGCATCCCTCCAAAAGTGCTCGACACTCCTCCCGGAGTGCTCGGCATCCCTCCTGCAGTGCTCAGCACTACCCTAGAAGTGCTTGACTCTACCACCAGAGTGCTTGGCGCTCCTCCTAGAGGGCGTGGCACCTGTTCCGCAGCGTCTCCACCGCCGTGGATGACCAAGTGCTCGACGACGAAGGTGTTGGGGAAGCCTCCTGCTTCCCCCGTGCTCGGACTGTTCCAGTCCCAAGCTGCCTCCTCGTTGAACACAATGTCGCGCGAGACAGTCACCTTGTCTCCACGTGGGTCATAGAGCCGGTACGCCTTGGTACCCTCCGCGTAGCCCAGGAACACCATGGGTGTGCTCCTGTCCTCCAGCTTGGTGAGGTTCGGCTTCGTCTTCCTGACATGGCCGATGCAACCAAATGTCCGGAGGAATGACACGTTCGGCTTGCTCCCGTACCAAGCTTCGAACGGCGTCTTACCCGTTAGGGCCTTGGTTGAAGCACGGTTGAGGATGAACACCGTCGTGGTCACCGCCTCTCCCTAGAACTTTGCCGGCATCCCTTTGGCCTTCATCATGGATCGGGCCATGCCAACCACTGTCTGGTTCCGTCGCTCCACCATGCCATTCTATTGTGGCGAGTACAGCGCGGGGTGATGTTGTCCCACACCCTGATCCACGCAGTACGTAGCAAACTCTACCGAAGTGAATTCACCACCCCGATCAGTCCTCAGCACGCGGAGCTTCTTACCGCTCTCGGCCTCCGCGCGCGTCTTGAACTTCTTGATCGCCACCACCGCTTCGTCCTTGCTCGTCAGGAGTTGCAGCCATATGTAGCGACTACAATCGTCCACAAGTAGGAGGAAGTACCGCCGACCACCGCATGTAGCAGGCGTGATCGGCCCGCAGCGGTCGCCGTGAACTAGCTCGAGAGCTTCCTTCGTGTGATACTTGGCCGCCTTTGGGAAAGGTAGCCTCCTCTGCTTCCCGGCCAGCTAGCCGTCACACAGCTCGCCTCCGTGTTTGATGTGGGGTAGCCCTCGGACCATCTTCCCCAGCCGACCAAGCGCGTCAAAGCTGAGATGTCCGAACCAGGCATGCCACATCCATGGTTCCTCGGAG